GGGGGGAGAGGAGGAGGAGGCTCGAGGGCGATCGACGATCGGAGACGACGACCAGCGACGGTGATTCACGACGACGACGACGACGACCACGACGACGACCGATGACGGCCACGCCGACGGCGGCGACGCTGTCCGACAGCCTCATCGAGGCCCAAGAGGGCCCCAAGACGTCCTAGAGCGCCTCAAGAGGGCCCGAGATGGTTTGAAGCTGGCCGAAGAGGGCCTTCAAGAGGCAAAAATCGGCCCACTCCCGTTGTATAGCGTACGTTTTCAGCATACTTGCTTGCTTGGTCCTCACAGTGCCCCAGACGCCCCCGAACCCCAAGACAGCCCAAGAGAGACCCAAGAGGGCCCAAGACGGCCCGAAAGGGTCGTCCTGTGAGGCTTATGGAACCCCCAAGACGGCCCAAGAGGCCCCAAAGTTGGCCCAGGAGGCTCCCAACACGGCCTCAGGGAGGCCCAAGAGGGCCTCGTTCGAAATCATATTCCCAGAAACCTCTCCAGGAACATGATTTCCTGGTTCCCAGGACGCCCAAGAGGGCCCTAAGAGCGCGAGATGTTGTTGGATTTCTTCCGCGCGGAGGAGACGGAGAGGGCGAAGGAGGAGGAAGAGGAGGAGAATGAAGAGGAGAAGGAGGAGGAGGCGGGGAGGAGGAGTGGAGGGGAGCAGGGGGGGAGAGAGGAGGAGGCTCGAGGGCGATCGACGATCGGCGACGACGACCGGCGACGGTGATTGACGACGACGACGACGACGACGGTCGACGACCGACGACGATGACGATAGAAGACGATGACAACAGTCGACGTCGCCGATCGACGAACGACGGCGACGACGACGACGGCCACGCCGACGGCGGCGACGCTGTCCGCGTGCGCAGAGCCACCCTGGACCCAGTCTTTTCTGCATCGTTCGAAATCCTGTCCCCGGAAGCGTCTCCGGGAACATGATTTCAGGAGGAGGAGGAGGAGGAAGAGGAAGAGGAGGCAGATTAGGAGGAGGAGGAGGAGAGGAGGAGGAGGAGGAGGAGGAGGAGGAGGAGGAGGAGGAGGAGGAGGAGGAGGAGGAGGAGAGGAGGATGAGTGGGCGGGAGGGCTCGGGGCCGATCGACGATCGGCGACGGTGATCGGCGACGGTGATTGACGATGACGACGACGGTCGTCGACGGCGACGACCGACGACGACGACGATGGACGACGATGACAACAGTTGACGCCGCCGATCGGCGAACGGCGACGACGACGACGTCTTCACAGTGCCACCCCGAGGAGCCCCAAGACGGCCCAAGAGGGACCCAAGATGACCCATGAGAGCTACAAGCCAGCCCAAGAGAGCCCCAAAAGGCACCCAACAGAGCCACAACGGGGGCAAGCAGAGCTGCCTATAGAGATTCTTGGGAGGCCTCTTCCGCAGCGTCCGAAATCATGTTCCCCGAAGCCTCTATCGGAATATGATTTCCGGGTTCCCAGGACGCCCAAAGGGGTCCTAAGACGGCCCCGACAAGTCCTAAAAGGACGCCCGAGAAAACCCGGAGGGACACAGTTCGTTGATTTCCGCGACATGCTGTTGGATTTCTTGCACGCGGAGGAGGTGGAGGAGGAGGAGGAGGAAGAGGAAAGGAGGAAGAAGAGATGGACGAGGAGGAGGAGGAGGAGGAAGAGGAGAACGAGGGGGGGAGGAGGGGGGTGAAGAGAGAAGGGGGACGGGGGGAGGAGGAGGGAAGAGGGATGATGACGATGATGATGATGATGATGATGCTGATGCTGATGCTGATGATGATGATGATGATGATGATGATGATGATGATGATGATGATGATGATGATGAGATGAGATGATGATGATGGTGTCCCGATGAAGATGATGATGATGATAGTGTCCCGATGATGATGATGCTGAGATGATGATGCCGATGGATGGGGAGGAGGAGGAGGAAGAGAGGAAGGAGGAGGAGGGAGGCGGAGGAGGAGGAGACGGAGGAGGAGGAGGAGGAGGATGGGAGGAGGAGGAGGAGGAGGAGGAGGAGGAGGAGGAGGATGAGGAGGAGAAGGACGAGGAGGAGGAGGTGGAGGAGGCGGAGGAGGAGGAGGAGGAGGAGGAGGGGAGGAGGAGAGAGGAGGAGGAGGGGGCGGAGGAGGAGGGCAGGAAGGAGGAGGAGGATGTGGAGGAAGAGGAGAAAAGGAGAAGGAAGAGCAAGAGGGAGGCCACCCCCGAGTGTTCCCTTTGTCCGATGTGGCCCAATTCTTGCGCGGCGTCGCGTTGCCGTTTGGCGAGCCATGTAGTCTGAACAGGAGGAGGAGAAGGAGCAGGGGAAGGAGGAGTGAGAGGAGGAGGAGGAGGAGGACGAGGAGGAGGCGGAGGAGGAGGAGGAGGAATAGGAAAAGGAGGGAAGGAGGAGGGAGGAGGAGGAGGAGTAGGAGGAGGAGGAGGCCATGATTGAATATGATGATGGTGATGGTGATGGTGATGGTTGGAGATGGTGATGATGTGAATGAATGTATGATGAGGATGATTGAGTGATGAGTGATGATCGGTGGGTGGTGGTGGTTGGTGATGATACCACGGATGATGTGACGATTGATGACGCGGATGATGATGATGATGATCGATGAGATGAGATGATGATGATGATGATGGAGCTGATGATGATGAAAAATGAGGAGGAGGGAGAGGAGGAGGAGGAGGTGGAGGATGAGGGAGGGGTATGGAGGAGGAGGAGGATGAGGAGGAGGAAGGGGAGGGGGAGGAGGAGGGAAAGTAGGAGGAGAAGGAGGAGGCGGATGAGGAGGAAGAGGAGGAGGATGAGGAGGAGGAAAAGGAGGAGGGGAGGAAGGGGGTGGAGGAGGAGGAAAGGGGGAAAGGAGGGGACGATGGGGGGAGGAGGAAGAGGAGGAGGAGAGGAGGAAGAGCAGGGGGAAAGAGGAGGACGAGGAAGAGGTGTCGTTTTCGGCCGCCTCGGGCCGCCTGGGGGTGAGGAGCGCCCAGAAGCTTTTCGAACCACGACCGCGAAACTCGATGAATAACCGAAGTGCATTCAGCCTTCAACCTCCTCGTCCGTTGTTTGGCCGTTGCCCCGGACGAAGCTAGAACCTAAGCGCGCGCGTAGCGCGCGCGTGGTTCTAGTATATATATATATATATATGCGCACCTTTGTCAGGTCCAATCGCTGACAAGAGAACGCGACTATAAACTCCCTTGCTGATGTACATAACAGCGAAATAGCAATCGCGGCAGAACAAAGAAAGGCCGCACCATGCGCATGGCCAGCGCAACAAGGCAAAACATGTTCACAAAGGCACTTTACACGCAAGAAGTGGGTGAACGAGACGCGTCCAAACGACCCAACTCAGAGAAACCAAACGCATGAACAATTTCAATCATATTGCTCGAAGAAGACGGCAGCCTAGTGCGAAAACGCTTCGGTCGCATGTGCGCAAGAAGGCGCAGGCGTTTGCACAAGCAGGGTGTCTGGGGCTAGCAATTGCCGAAGTGATGGTTCGCAGCTGGGCTTGGTATCTCGCTTTTGCGATCTGGACGGGGGTGGCTGCGATGGCGCACCGATGCTTGGGCGACAACGGCGACGAGCCGGCGGCGGCGTGGCCCTCGGTTGAGGATTGCGAAGAGGAGGAAGAGGAGTGGCGCAGCCCGGGGGGTCGTGTCCACGCGCGCGTGCTCGGCTTCTCGGTGACCGGCGCCGCCGCTGTCGGCGCCGCGTGAGCGAGGCCCTGTCGCAGGTTCACTTTAGTTCACAACCCGCCGATTGCGGGTTGCGGACGTGTCGCAGGTTCACTTTAGTTCTTCTCTGAACAATTACACGAACTACTCTCCTCTCTTCCCCCAAGACGCTGGTGTGGTGTCCTGGCCTCCTCCGCGTAGTTGTTTAACACAGGATGCCGCCGAGTTGAAAATTAATGTGTTTGTCCAATCCGAACTTTTTCAGTCCTTTGGCGCTCCCGCTACAGCGTTGGCTCCATTTTCTTGTTCCCAGTCCTTCCAAATCACGGGCCCACTGCAGCGGTGGCCTCATTTCATTGTTTCGGTTCTTCCAAGGCGTGTTCCTGCTGCAGCGTTGGTTTCGGTACCGCGCTTCCAGTCCTTCCAAATCGTGCCTCCACTGCAACGCTGGTTTCATTTCCGCGGTTTCGGTCTTTCGAAATCGTGCTTCCGCTGCAGCGCTGATCTCATTTTGCGATTCCGCTTTCCAAACCGTCCATTTGCATTTCCCTTTCTGTGTCATTTCTGGTTTCCCTCTGAACTTGGTGTCGGCAAGAGTCACGTTCTCGACGCGACGACGTCGGCGGTGGCTATGCTCTTCTATGCCATGCCATGCCGTGCTATACCATGCATCGCGTACTCTCGGGATCAGTGCCCAGCTCGACGTGACTGTGCGACTAGAGGAGATCTACGCAATGGTAAGGGATGGGAGGGATGGGTAGGACGTCAGGTATGACGCTTGCGCACCTAGCTTGCCTCTTCCCCCTCTCCTTCCCACCTTCTTGCCGTGCTTTCAGCGAATACATCGCGCCCGAAGGTGCACGCTCTTGCTGGAGCCCTATAACAGTTTTCCTACAAACAACTACATCACGCCGCTTCCCTGGGCCAGCCCGTACCTGCATCTGGTGCAGGTCAGAGGCCGAATGCGATTGCGTGTCTCGTATCCTCTCTTGCCCCGCTTTCGCCTGTGCTGCCCACGCGGTCCTGCTGCTCCCCGCGTCCTTCTCGCTCTTGTCTTGGCCTGCTTGTGCCTGCTTGATACGATTCTGCCCGATGGGCAATTCCAAGCTGACCTCCCTTGCCTTGGGTGCTCTGTTGACTGCGCGTCACACGGCTGGGTTGAACCTCCTGTCCAGGGTCGTCACGCCGCCGGTAAGCTGGTTCGGGGGCGCTTTCTCGAGCTTCTTTCAGAGCTTTTATTCAGGATTGCCACTCGCAGTGGGCAATGAGGACCAGCTTCCTTGAGCGACGTGCGCTCCGCCTCTCCCCCGCCTTCTCCTGTGGCCGAGGGGACGTCATGACAGACCCGGGCTACCGGATCCAGCACAGCATCTATAACGACTGCGTCTGGTCGCGGGGGGTTGGGGCGTGGCGTTCCGCCGTTCCCCGCGGCACACCCTCGACGACGACGACGGCGGTGGTGCCCTCGCTTGCCTCCTCGGCGTCTTCTTCCTCACCGTCGTCGTAGTCCTCTTCCTCGTCCTCCCCGTCTTCCCTCGTCCCCATCTTCTTCGCGAGAAGGATTACGAACATGTATTCTTTCGGGGTTCAACAGCTATTTAATCGCTCCGCTCATTCCGCCGGCCGATTTCGCATTACTGTGGCTGCGTGATGGTGTGCTCGTGCCCATGGGGAACGGTAGGGCAGGCAAGACGGTCTTCGAGGAGATCTTTGTAGATGTGGCTCGCACCCTGTCGAAAGGAGCCGATCGACTGCCCCAGAGGGCGCCAAGATGTCTCAAGAGAGCTCCAGAAGAGTTTCGAGACGTACCTGGGTTGTAGGTGAAAGTCCTCATGGATGCTTCTTGGGGTCTCTTCGGAGGGCTCTCAGGGGCCTCTGGGGAGCAGTTTTGAGGCTTCTGGGGAGCATCTTGGGAGCTTCTTGGGGGCCTGTTGGGGCTTCCTGGGGGCCTGTTGGGAGTCTTGGGAGCCTCTTTTGGGGCCTCTGGGCCTCTTGGGGCCTCTTGGGGGGCTCTTTGGGGCCTCTGAGGGCTTCCTGGGCGCCTCTTGGGGCCGAGAGCTCGACATGTCTGTTCGGGTTCCCCCTCTGGGTTCCCTCTCGGGGCCATCCTGCTCGGGCCACTTTGGAGGCCTCTCGGGCCGTCTTAGGGCCATCTTGGGCCATTTGGGGGCCCTCAGTCAGATTTTTTGGGTCAAGTGTGCTCCAGGGCCCACCGTGTGAGACATCCTTGAAAAAGCCCCAAAGTATGGACTGGCTCGCTGGTTGGTTGGCTGGCTGGCTTCCGAGTCAAATGTGTGTATATGTTATATATATATATATATATATATATTTCTGGAGTGGTTGGCTGGTTGGTTGGCTGGCTGGCTGCTAGGTCCAGAAAAAGAATCAGGGCCCCTCGGTGTGGGACATCCTCACAATACCACGGGAAGGACTGGTTGGTTGGTTCGTTGGTTGGTTGGCTGGCTGGCTGGCTGGTTGGCTTGCTGGTTGGTTGGCAGGAAGGCTGGTTGGTTGGTTAATCGGTTGGCTGGTTGGCCACTTTGGCGTTTGCTGGTGGTCAACTCGTATTCGGCTTGTCTGTAAACGAAGTTTCCGCCAATTGCAATGCAATGCAACGCAATGCGCTGCAATGCAAGGCAATGCAAACGCAGTTCAATGCCAATGTAATCCAACGCAATGCAATGCAATACAATTCCAATCTAATGCAGCATAACCGGAATATCCTACACGTCACATGGCAACGCCTCGGGGTAGAACAAACACCTATCCCACTCTATTCGCCACGTGGTAGCGCCTGGAGGGTGAACAAAACTACTATTCCACTCTACTCGTCGTGTGACAACGCCGGGAGAGGGGGGGGGGAGACCAACAACATATGATTCCAGCACGGTTCCGCTCCATTTGCTACGTGGCAGCGCATGGGGTGGGAAACAATACTATTCCGCTATCTTCTTCACGTGGTCATGCCGCAGGGCGGAAACATACAGTTTTACTCTATTCGCCACGTGGGAACGCCGGGTGGAACAAAAAGTCTACTTTCCACGCCTCAGTGCCGCGGGCGACGACGACGACGACGACATACGACGACGGACGACGGAGGCGACGACGACGAATACCACGACGACGACGAAGACGATGAAGACGACGACGACGAAGATGACGACGATGACGACGATGCCGACGACGACGACAACGACGACGGCGACGAAAACGACGACGACGACGACGGAAACTAATGGAATGGGATAGGATGGGATGGGATGGGACGCGATGCGATGGGATGGGATGGAATGGAATGGAATGTAATGGGATATACTAAACTGGAATCAGAACGGAACGAAGCCACCGCCGCTTGTGTTCTCGTTCCGTTCCGTTGTATTTCAGTCCATTCCATTCCATTCCATCCCATATCCCATCGCATCCCATCCCGCATCCCAGCCCATCCCATTCCATCACCTTCTACTCCATTCTGTCGTTTTCGTCGTTTTCGTCGTTTTCGTCGTTTTCGTAGTCGTCGTCGTCGTTTTCGCCGTCGTCGTTGTCGTCGTCGTGATCTCCGTCGTCGTCGTCGTCGCTGTCCTCGTTGTCGTTGTCGTCGTTTAGTTGCCGGATCGAAAAGGTTGGTTCCAAGTTTCGATGGCGCAATAATTGCCACTATCTTGGTTGAAGGGTGGGTGGTCTGCGAACCTCCTGGGCGCTCGCAATGGCCACTCCGCAGCCTTTTAACCAACTTACAAGGCCTCTCAGACGGCGCGACGCAGCTTGCTCTCCAGGGGCCCCAGCCGCACCCCAAGTATCGCAGCGATGAGCGTTCCAGCGGCGAAACACGTATGCTTCACATTTTCGGGCACTTGGTTTGCCAACCCAGGTAGCTTGGAAACCCGTTTCGGGATGTAGAAAACCCACCAGCGTTTTAGTACATGTATTTCGCCCCCTCCCCCACTTGCACGATGTATCGCAAACATGCGCCCTGTCTCGGTTAGCTAAACCGCCCGCTGCGGTTAATAAGCCGCCCGCGGTGTTTACACAATCGCCTGCTGTGTGTACTAATTGAGCGGTGTGCGTCGCAAATTCTGGCATTGAGTTGATGTGTCATGTCGTTTTGCGTCGTGTGGACGCGACGTTGCCCATTCGCGTGCGCAGGCTGGGAGGTAGTGCAAGTCAGTTGTAGGGCAGCAGAATGGCCATTGTGAGCCCTTAGGAGGTTAGCAGACCACCCACCCGTAAACCAGGGTAGGGGCGTTCTTGCCACCTCAAATGTTGTGTGCCCTGCGAAGGAAAGGGGGATCGATTTTTCTGCACTACCGTCCGAAAACTTGCGTCTTTTTCTTCGGGGGTACCCAGGAAGCCGAGCATGTGTCCAAAACGGCGTGTGCAAAACACACATAGGACATGCATTGCGTTTGTTGAACATGCGTCTTTGCTGAGATGCGCTTGTTCGATTTGGTGCTTAGAGCGTGGGGTCATCTAGGACGTATTAAGACGGCTGTAATTGAGAACATGTGTTCGTTGGGGCGCAACAGCACGTACTTGTATTTCGGTTGTTGTTCGGCTCCGGTGTGGTGCTGGACGACGGAGTCACCATTTTGACGACACCCGGACATACAAATTTTGTGTCGCAGCGCCAACGCGGTAAAATACCAGAGGCCCAGTGCGGCAGCCCAGTGCGCTTCGTGGGCGGTCATGTCCGCGTTTGCAGACGTGGGCGCCTTCAAGGGGTGCTACGTCGTGGCAGCGGAGCCCCAGATGGAGAACGTACCGGCGGGCATCGTGCGATGCTTGGTGGTGTTGGGAGTGGTTCGCGCTGCGCTTTGCTTGGCGGAAGCGCTATGATTACGGCGACGAGTTTGAAATAAGGAAGGGGTATATTGAGAGAAGAAGAGGAAAAGCAAAGGAAGGAGAGGCGAAAAACGAGGGGGATGAGGAGGAGAGGGAGGAGGAGGAGGAGGAGGAGGAGGAGGAGGAGGAGGAGGAGGAGGAGGACGAGGGAAGGACGGTGAATGGGAACGTGGGAACATTGATGCCATCGGAGATGGTCGAATAATATGCAGAAGAGAAACAACAAAAATGAAGACGGGAAGGAGCGGGCATTGCACCCGGTGCCCGAACTACTCAGCATTGCGTCTGAAGAATTGGGCATTGCACCCGAAAGAGTTGCGCATTGCACCCGCAACGTTGGGTATTGCGTCCGAAGAGTTGGGCGTTGCGCCCGCAAGAATTGGGCATTGCACCCGAAGGGCTGGGCACTGCACCCGAAAAGGCTGGGCATTGTATCCGAAGTTTGGGTCGGACCCGAAGAGTTGGGCATTGCACCCGAAGGGTTGGGCTTTGCGCACGAAGGGTTGGGCATTGCGCCCGAAGAGCTGGGCACTGCACCCCAAAGAGTTACTGCATTGCACCTGAAGAGTTGGGCATTGCACTCCAAAGAGTTGGGCATTGCACCCACCAGGGTGGGGCATTGCACTCGAAGAGTTCGGTATTGCACCCCGAAGAGTTGGGCCAGCCCGCCTGCGCTCCATCAGCACCTGAGGACGTGGCTGAAGGGCTCATATGTTTTCCTTCTTCTTCTTCCTCCTCCTCCTCCTCCTCCTCCTCCCTCTCCGTCTCCTCCTCATCCTTATCATTATCCTCCTCCTCCTCCTCCTCCTCCTCTTCCTCCTTCCCCCGTTGGGCATCCCGTCGTGGCCTCCACCTCATCCGCTCCTTCCTCTTCCTCCTCCTCCTCCTTCTCCTCCCCTTCCTCTTCCACCGTTGAGCATCCCGTCGCGGCCTCCTCCTGGTTCTCGGCCTCCTCGGCCTCGTCCTCATCATCATCCTTCTCCTCCTGAGGAGGCCCCCGCCTGGGAGGCCCCCTCAAAACGCATTCAAAACGACGCTGCTGCCTGAGGGGCCAAACACATTCAAAACGAGGCTCCCGCCTGAGAAGCCCCCCGCACAAGTAAAACCATAAACCCAAGGCCGACGAGGGCCGCCCCTCTACCCAACGTTCCAGAGGGAAGCTCATCCTCGCTCCCGCGTCCTCATCTTCTTGCCCGCCCCCTGGAAGGTGAGGGGGGGTTCTCGTTTGATGTGTGTTATTAGTTTTTTTGGGGCACCTGCAGGGATGAGAAGGGGTGGCTCTTGTTGTGTGGTTGTTTTTGGGACCTCTCAGGCGGGGGCCTCGCTTTGAATGTTTTTGACCTCTCAGGCGGGGGCTTCCTTTTGGTAGTTTTTGTTGGGACCTCTCAAGCGGGAGCCTCCTCTTCATCTTCCTCCTCCTCCTCCTCCTCCTCTTCATCTTCCTCCTCTTCCGATGGCAACCTTATCATCCTCCCTCCGCTTTTCTCGCCCTCCTCTTCCTCTTCCTCCTTCTCCTACTCTGCCTGCGCCTCCTCCTCATCCTTATCCTCATCTTCTTTGCGACTACATATACGCGTGCCTCTGCGACAAAAGGGGAGACCCAAGAGGAAGTCGACGGCGAACGGTGAGGTAGATCTTGGTGGGGCGGGGGGCGTCCCTACGTGTGTGTGTATATATATATATATATATATGCATGTGTGTTGCCAATCCAGGGCGGGGCCATTGCGAACCAAAAGCTGCGCCAACCTCACTAACCTGTGCTCACCATCCGAAAACGGACGGCGAGCAGGTTGGTGAGGTGGGCGAAGTTTTCCTAGGTTCTAGTTGTGTGCTTCTCAGGTGCTAGCTGTGTGCTCCTTAGGTTCTGCCTGATTCTGATTCTCAGTTCCTAGGTTCTGGATGTGGGCTTCTTAGTGTTTCTCTGCCTCCTCCGCCTCCCCCCTCGGGCTAATTCGTGTGATTTGGTTCTTTCCTGGTGCACCTCGCCCCACGGATCGCATTTTGCCAGAAACGGGGGGCGCGGCACAGCTTGGTCGATGCCCGTGTATTGGCGTGCGTTCGTAGAGCGAAGCTTGTCTACGTCCTAGTTCGATTCCCGCGTTTTTCAAGCTGCTATGTGGGTCGATTGTCAGGCTGTGGCGCTCTCACCTTCTCGCTTCCTGCTTCCCTCACGCAGGTGGCACGCCCCTTTCTCTTTCAGGCCACGGTTCAGTGCGTGAGTTTGCGGTCTGTTTGGCGACCTTTTGATTCGCACAGCGGTCGAGGCCGAGTGAAGTGAAGCTCTTTGGTCGCGCTCCGTCCTGAAAGATCATTGCTCGTCATCCGAAGGCTGCTGACGTGTGATGCGGGTGCTTGGGACAGGAGGGTGTTCTGCAGCATAAGTTGCGTGAGCTGGCTTTACTTTGGTCTTCCTCCTCCTCCTCCTCCTCCCTCCCTTCCCTCTTGCCTCTTTCCCCTTCTCCTCGTTCTCCCCTTCCCCCTCCGCCTCCGAGTGGGCAGGCGCAGGTGGGACTGCGCCGCCCTGGTGCACGAGGCCCTGCTGTGGCGGCTGGAGAACAACTCGTCGTGCGCCTTCGACTTCGGCCACAGGGGCGGCGGGCCGGTGAGAGGGGAGGGGGAGGTGAGGGGAGGAGCATTCCCAGGAGGACCCTGGCAAAAGCACTTCGGGTCGGTTCCTTAACGGTGGGCGTGAGAAGTGGCCTCCAGGTTCCCACACTGTGCATTCTGATTCGTGCGCTGTCGTTCTTTCGGTCTTTCGGGTCTCGCCAGTGCAGTGTGCAATTTGCCTGCGTTCAGTGACCGTCGCAGTTCGGGTCGGAACCGCAGGAGCCCGCATACGCTCCCAACATTACGCCCAGGACGTTTCGAAGTTAAGATGATTTCGCGAGGGCTCTCGGGAATAACCCACATCCCACGACTCCGATTTTTTAGTTCCTTGGTCCGTTTCCCGTCACAAAGCAAGATCATGCACTTTTCTGGCCGTTCGTGCATTGCATTATTTTGCTCGCTACGGCGCCAGAGGAGATTCAAATCAGGCGTGTGGCCCAATCTGGATTGCATCGCGGCGCGTGCCGTGACATCAAACCATTCTCAGATTTCTTTAGTGTCGTTCTACCATGTCGTAAGTTTCCCCTATTGCATCCGTATTTATCCATTCCGCTCTCAGTGCGCGTCAGGTTTATATTGACAATTAAACCGCTACTTCTGCGCACTGGCGCACATGTAATGGGTATGCTACTGCCGAAGGAAATTAGCGCGAATCCTTGAGCCTTTCAGGACCTAAGGTTGGATCCAGAGGGAGCTAGGGAGGGAAGGAAGGCACTGAAGGGTTGGGGAGGGGAGGGGCGTGGGAAGGAGGGAGGAGGGGGAACGTTGAGGGAGGAAGGATGGGAAGCGGAGTGGAGGAGGTGTGGGAAGGCAGGAGGGGCGAAGGGGAGGGAGGGGGGGTGAGTGGGAGTGGGGGAGGGATGGAGGAGGGAGAAGGGGGGATGAATCGTAGCATTTCAGCAGTTGCCATTGTTGGACCCCCTCGTCCGCTTTCGCGTTCCCGTCTTCGCGCCGGCCACATTTTCCTTGAACGTGGCATTCACTCTCATATATGTTTCGGAGTCTGCGAACCACAGGCCCCCAACAGCAGCAATGCTCCCGCTTGATACCTCCCCATCTTGACCTAGTCATTGCGCTTTCGCCTAACTACGTGCTGGATGCCTGCCGCGAAACTGTCACACTCTTGACGCTTCTTAAACCTCCCCAGAGGCTCTAGGGTCCCCATCCAGGGGCTCCGAGGCCTCTCCCAGAGGTCTTCGGCATCTTCCCGAGGCACTGAGGCTGCTCACGCAGATGATGATGCCTCTCCCAGAGGCTCCGGGGCTCTTCCGGGACCGTGATGCCTTTCCCAAGAGCTCCGAGGCCTCTCCCGAGAGCTGCGCGGCCTCCCCCAGAGGCCCAAGGCCTTTTCCGCAGGCTCTGGGCCGTCTTCCAGGGGCTCAGTTGCTAAATTTCCCAGAGGTTGAGCCTTCCCTCAAAGGACTTGAGGTTTCTCCCAGAAGGTATGAAGCTTGTTCCAGAGGCTCAGAGGCCTCTGCTAGAGTCTCTGGGGCCATTGCGACGCCCATGTATCATTCGAGCTGAGCAGCATCAAAGTGCTTCAGAAAAGGCCAGTGCAGGAGATTTGGGGATTTCGGGCCAGTCAAGTTAAGTACGCCTTGCACCAGACGGTGCGCGAGCAGGGGCGAACCGTATAGTAATTCATCACCAAATGCAGCCATGATGCCTTCAGCTTCCAGCCCAAGCCTTCACCGCGCGCTCCCACGCTCTTACTCGAGTTGCACCACCGTCTTGGTGGAAGTAGGCAGCGAGTCGTTCGCGGGAGCTGGCGACCTTGAGACAGTTATTCCAAACTAGATGGCCCCATGTCTGCCTTGGTCTGCCCCTCTTTCTCGGTCTGGCGACCCTCCGCAGCTCCAGGGTGCCCGGTTCAAACACCGAGCGTCGCACAGGGTCTTGGCCGAGTCGGCGCGCTAATTGGCCCATGAATATCATTTGCCGTCTCGCGAGGTCGTCGTTGAGCTTCGTTTGGCCAGCGATCCCAAGCACGGTGGCGTTCGACACTACTGATGTCTGCCGGAGGCACTCTGCAAATCTTTCTGATACACCGATTTTGGTAGCCGTCCAAACGTCGACGTTCAGCCTGGTTCAGACACGCCGTGAAGAGAGCGTACATTAGATTGGACACAAAGCATACATTGAAGATGTGGAGCTTCTGTTTCCTCGTCAACGAAGCGTGCGACCAAATCGTGTGTAGTACTTTGAAGTCTTGCATGGCTGCTCCGATTCTGCGGGGCAATTCCGACGCGCATCTTCCGTCGGCAGAGATCAACGTGCCCAAGTAGACGATGGAATGCTTATTGGCGAGAGGAGCGCCAGCGTTGCCCGAGATGCCGTCTTTTGCGCACATTCATCAGCTCCACTTTCTTTCAGTTTAGTTGCAAGCCATAGTTTGCCCCAAACTTCTCCACGTATGGCATCAGCTCCTGCACGGCCTCTGCGCTGGCGCCGAGCAGCAGCGTGTCATCCGCGTAGACAAGATCTCGGACCAGCTCTTCTGGAACGGGTAGGCCTCGTCCTTGGCGAAGCTCTTTGTGAGCATCGTGTAGAAGAGTAGTCATAACAACGGTAAATAGAAACGGTGACAACGCGCATCCTTGGCAAATTCCGTACTCTTGCTTTCTCTCTTGTGACGTTGCGCCGAAGTCGGTGACCTCGACGACACGGCTCTCGTATACACATATATATATACATATGTATATAGCAGCAACCATGCTTACAAAACGATTAGGAAAGCCAAATCTTAGAAGAGACATGGCCAGCGCCTGAGGCGACACAGAATCGAAGGCCTTTGCCCAGTCCAGCGCCAAGAATAATGTCTTCCCATCGCGGGCGGCCCATGTCTCTTCCAGCACCCGCCGGGCGATGAATATGGCGTCTGCAGTACCGCAGTTCGATCGGAACCCGAACTGTGTCTCCCAAATACGCTGTTTGGCACCGGCGTCCTTCATCCTCTGCAGCAGGACGAGCGCGAACATCTTGTACCCTATCGGGAGAATGCATATTGGGCGATAGTTGTTGCTGTCCGCGGGGTCCCCCTTCTTGCAGATAATTTTCACCTTTGCCTTGCGCCATGATCAAGGATTTCGGGCCCCAAGGGAATATGTCGTCCCAGTGAGGGGGGATATGCACGGGGCATTTTGAGAGTTGGGCGCGAGGGTGAACTGGTAGTTGTTACTACTGGCGGCCCGAAAGTTGATCTCAACGCGCAATCGCGCCCTGACACGTGTGTCCCAATGGGAGGGGCGAGCGAACAGGGAACGGGGGAGGGAGAGTGGGGGAACGAGGGGGGGGGGAAGGAGGGAGAAGTTTGGGTGCGGGTGATGGTGGACCAGTGTCGAGGTTAGGACGGGGAGATGCACACATTGTGACATTCCCCCACCCCACGCATACACACACGCGCACGCGCAACTTTGTTCATTCGGCAGCCAGGGCCGCGGCGGTACCGGCCGTCCACGGACGCCCGCGGCTGGCGTCGCGGTTGCGAGGCGCACGCGTGTTTGCGCGCACATGCGCCGATGTGCATGCGGACAAACAAACGCACATACGCATGCACACACGTGCACGCACACACAGGCCACAGCACCCAATACGTGACACGCAAATCACTGCAAGCAATGTGCAAACTCACAGCACACAGCATACAATACACAACGTAGCGCACACTTTTCCAATGGGGGCGGATGCGCTGCGGAGGCTGCCGCATCCAGCTTTGGGCAACCGCGTTGATAAAAATGGAGAACAGCAAAACGGGGTGAGGGCGCACGGATAAGGGCAAGTGCAACAGCCGCAACATAATGCACAGACGCACATATGCACAGCACGCAACACACATTGCATAACACACGCTCCACAACGGACAGCACACGACAGATAACACGTAACGGACGGCACAGAGCACGCAATGCACGACACACTTACGCACACACACACACTTTTTCTTTTTTTTTTTTTTTTTTTTTTTTTTTTTTTTTTTTTGTTTTTTTTTTTTTCTTCTTTTTTTTTGTTTTTTTTTTTTTTTTTTTTTTGCTTTTTTTTTTTTTTTTTTTTTCTTTTGTTTTTGTTTTTTTTTTTTTTTTTTCTTTGGACGCGCTTATGATGGCATTCAGCTGGAAAAGGCCAGACGACCGCTTGATACATGTTTAAGTCAGCGACGCAGAGGGTTCTCAGGCGCGGGCAGCAGATGGAAGTGATAATTGCGATCGAGCGTAGTCGAAAGCACAGTGAACGAGACGTCGAATATTGGAATGTAACCGAAAACCGCACGACACGCACACGCAAAGCACATGTCGTAGCACACAGTGAACAATTGACGGAGCACAGCACGCACACACTCACACGCACACACGCACACACGCGCTCACGCTCCGTGGGCTTTGTCTGTCGGTTGCATGTCCGATCTCGCATGCGTGACCGGCTCCCTCCGTCTTCTCGCCCCCTGTCCTCGTTCTTTTCCGTCTTTGCGGCCTACGAGCGAGCCCGGGAGGCGTTTATGATTTCCATTCCCAAGGGTACGAGCTCTGGTTCGATGGCATCAGCCGTACTATCGATTGGAACGACAATTTCTTTGTGTTCAAGCACGAGGATGATATGAAGGGAGGGTGGGGGGTGTCTCTAGGGCAGCGACTGCCGCAAACTCCTTACCCCCCCCTCCCCAAGATGGCTCGCCGCACCAATCTCGGGGCAGCAAAGACGATCGGGCGCGGGCTCAGCTGGAGACCGCCGCAAGCAGAAACGAGCGGCGCTTGCTGCAGTCTCAGGGCGCTGGTTTCTGAAGTTCTCCTCCCTCGTCCTGCCCCTCCTTCCGTATCCGAGCCACGCACCTTCGCATTCTTTGCGCCTTCACAAGCGGGTGCGCTCCAAGAGTGGACGTCGACGTATGAAAGGAGAGGGGTACCTCCGATGTCTCGCGTACCCCTGCTCAGAAGAATCCCCCTCCCAAAACAGGAGCCTGGGCTTTACAGCCCCTCTCCAAGGGTGTGCCACTCAGGCGAAGGAAAGGACTCTTCGATCAATCGCACACTCGCTTAAAAATACCCTGTGACGTACCCAATCCTTTCTATACATGTGGCGATTCTACTCAGGACAACTCAATGCTGACTGGCAATCTGAAGGACCCGCAGTGCGCAAGAAGAGCACCCAGCAGTGATTTCAGAAGAGAGCAGCAAGAAGAGGAACGACAAATATACAAAATGGAAACACAGGGACGTTGAAAAAAAAACGCCCAAATAGTGAACACAAAAGAGCCTCCCAGGAGCCCGCGAATGTGGCGACAGTTGCGCAGATCGCAAGCCCCCCAGAGGGCGGCGAGGTACCGAGGTGGTCCGTTTGGGACGTACCTCCGCTGGGCCTCCCAGGAGCCCACGAAAGTGGCAACAGTTGCGCAGATCGCAAGCCCCCCAGAGGGCGGCGAGGTACAAGGTGGTCCGCGTGGGACGTACCTCCGCTGGGCCTCCCAGGAGCCCACGAATGTGGCGAGAGTTGCGCAGATCGCAAGCCCTCAATGGGGGCGGCGAGGTACCGAGGTGGTCCGCATGGGACTTCCTCCGCTGGGCCTCCCAGGAGCCAACGAAAGTGGCGAGAGTTGCGCAGATCGCAAGCCCTCAATGGGGGCGGCGAGGTACCGAGGTGGTCCGCGTGGGACTTCCTCCGCTGGGCCTCCCAGGAGCCCACGAAAGTGGCGAGAGTTGCGCAGATCGCAAGCCCCCCAGAGGGCGGCGAGGTACCGAGGTGGTCCGCGTGGGACGTACCTCCGCTGGGCCTCCCAGGAGCCCACGAAAGTGGCGACAGTTGCGCAGATCGCAAGCCCCCCAGGGGCGAGGTACCGAGGTGGTCCGCGTGGGACGTACCTCCGCTGGGCCTCCCAGGAGCCAACGAAAGTGGCGACGTTGCGCAGATCGCAAGCCCCCCAGGGGGCGGCGAGGTACCGAGGTGGTCCGCGTGGGACGTACCTCCGCTGGGCCTCCCAGGAGCCCACGAAAGTGGCGAGAGTTGCGCAGATCGCAAGCCCCCCCCCAGGGGGCGGCGAGGTACCGAGGTGGTCCGCGTGGGACGTACCTCCGCTGGGCCTCCCAGGAGCCCGCGAAAGTGGCGAGAGTTGCGCAGATCGCAAGCCCCCCCCAGGGGGCGGCGAGGTACCGAGGTGGTCCGTTTGGAACGGGCCTCCGCTGGGCCTCCCAGGAGCCCACGAAAGTGGCAACAGTTGCGCAGATCGCAAGCCCCCCAGGGGGCGGCGAAGTACCGAGGTGGTCCGCGTGGGACGTACCTCCGCTGGGCCTCCCAGGAGCCAACGAAAGTGGCGCAAGCCCCCCAGGGGGCGGCGAGGTACCGAGGTGGTCCGCGTGGGACGTACCTCCGCTGGGCCTCCCAAGAGCCCGCGAAAGTGGCGAGAGTTGCGCAGATTGCAGACGCCACGGGAGAAGAGGAGAGGGGAACACACGAAACAGGAGAGAAGGAGAAGGGGAGGAGAGGGGAGGAGAAGGAAGGACGGACGGGGCGACCACACTGCTCTATACAAACCAAGAACCCAACACAGGAGGGTTGGGAATAATCACGATGGATGGTGTTACGTCTTCAAAACGAGGATTCCGCCTTGGTGCCACGTGCACACTCGTCATCACTGTTACCCACATTTAGACGGACGTATGGTTGTCATCTTTCAAAATGCGGTTCTCGCTAAAGTTCGCCTCACATGTTATGATGTTCAAATGGGGCTCTCGCTCGAATCTTCTTCGATTGTTCGGCCGTAGGTTTCAAGCTGTGCAGCGCTCACACGGAGGCATGGCACATCCTTTTCATCCTGGAGTTCTCGCTGGACACTTCCATGGATTGCATGACCAGACCTCTTTGCATTCATCATTCGTAGAATGGCAGGAGGTGTATCCTTTACAAAAGCGGGTGCAGTTTCGTTGATGCATCTCGGGTTTATTCTGGTCTTCTTCCCCCCTCCTCCTCCTCCGCTACTTCGTTCCCTGGCCGCATCTTGATATGAAAGTCTCACAGACGAAACTACCCAACGAATGATATCTGCTTCCTCCTCCACCTGACGCTGCTGGGCCCTACAGGTGGCTGAAACAAGCAGCTCGGCGTTGAATATCGTGAGACATCGAACCCTTCTGGTACTGGCGCTCCTCCTCCATTTCTTTGTTTTTTCGCACGCTGCGCCCTCCCATCTTCCCAATACTCTTCTTCATTCTTGTCCGACTGCCCCAGGCCGAGATTCTCCAGAAGCCCCTACCCGCCGGTCATTCCCTCTGCTCCTGGGATCTCCGAGGGCCCGATGGGACCAACCATGAGGTAGGAGGAGGAGCATGCTGATGATGATGATGATGATGATGATGATGATGATGATGATGATGATGAGGAGGAGGAGGAGGAGGAGGAGGAGGAGGAGGAGGAGGAGGATGAGGAGGAGGAGGAGGAGGAGGAGGGAGGATGAGGAACAGGAGTGGGAGCTGGAGGAGGAGGAGGGCCATGATGATGATGATAAGGAGGAGGAGGAGGAGGAGGAGGAGGAGGAGGAGGAGGAAGCGTAAGAGGAGGAGGAGGAATAGCAGGATGATGACGACGAGCGACGATGACGAAGAGGACCAGAAAGAAGAAGATGATGAGGAGGACCACGAGACGGACCAACAGGGGGAATATGATGATTACGACCATGCACCGGCGCCAAGGACGACAACCAGCTCCGTTACAAGAAGGAGCTGGTCACGGCAGGAGACCTCCCGCTGGCGGGTCCTGAACGCAGAGGGCCTGAGCCCGGACCTCGGCGTGGTGCCGTGGCTCGGCGGGGAGCGCCTCGGGAAGGCTGCCGTCGCCGCGGAGACTCTCCGGGGCGGCCGCGCGGGTTCGCCCCGGCGCTCGCCGCCACCGCGCCGGTCGCCGGCCGGCCGTCGCGACGGCAGCCAGGCGGCGGCGGGAGAGCGCCGCGGGGCGGGCGGCGCCGACCTCGGCGGAGAGCCGGGGGGCGGCGCGGACCGAGGGGTCGGAAGCAAGCGGGGCGGCGGGCCCGACTCCGCGGACGGCCCGCACGGCAACGCAGCCCGCCCGCGCCGCCTGGTCCCGCGGCCAGGCGGCGGCGACGTCTACGCCTACCTCCGCTACTCCTCTCTCTCTCTCTCTCTCTCTCTCTCTCTCTCTACGAGAAGCCACCTCCCCGCGCCGCGGCGCGGCCCCCCCCGCTGGCCCCCCCCCCCCCCCGCCCCCCCCCCCCCCCCCCCCCCCCCCCCCCCCCCCCCCCCCCCCCCCCCCCCCCCCCCCCCCCCCCCCCCCCCCCTTTCCCCCCCCCCCCCCCCCCCCCCCCCCCCCCCCCCCCCCCCCCCCCCCCCCCCCCCCCCCCCCCCCCCCCCCCCCCCCCCCCCCCCCCCCCCTCCCCCCCCCCCCCCCCCCCCCCCCCCCCCCCCCCCCCGGGCGCGCGCGAGCGCCGGCGGGGCGGCGACGGCGACGGCCGCGAGGGCGCGCGGGGCGACGAGGGCGCTCGCTTCCACGGCGCACCCACCCCTCCGGCGGACCGTCGCGAGGACGCTCGCGGCGTGTCGCCCGCGGCGGAGAGGGGCCGCCGGGACCGCGCCCGCGACGCAAGCGAGCGCGCCAGGCGCGGCGCCAGCCCGCGCAGCCGCAAGCGCTCCCGGGACCGTAGCCGCAGGCGCTCCCGGGACCGCAGCCGCAGGCGCTCGCGGGACCGCAGCCGCGGGCGCTCCGACGGCCGGGGCGCCGCGGGCAGCGGGGGCAGGCACGGCGACGTCCTGGAGGGGGCCGGCGACGGTGGCCCCCGCGAGGTGCGCTGCGCGGACCCGCGGGCGCGGAGGCCCCCCCAGGGCTTCCGCAGCGACCCGCAGGAGGGCGACCGCGCCAGGAGGGGCCGCGCGAAGAAGCGCTCGCGCTCGCGGCAGCAGAGGGGGCGGTCCGGCAGCCGGGGCCGTTCCGAGTCGTCGACCTCAGTTTTTCATTGGGCCTCGTCGTCGAACGGGGGGCGATCGTCCCAGGCCCGCCTCATCGACTTGGCGCGCAAGCACCCCGGTCGCCTGGCCGCGCGGCCCCTCCAGACCATGGAGGACCGGGCGGGCAGGGACGGCGAGGCGGGCACCTGGGAGCCGACGGACACGCCAGCGTCCGCGAAGGCCTACTACCTTGAAGTCGACCTCGGTAGGGGTCCGCAACCTCCGCGAGATGAACGCCATCTGCGTGGCGCTGGACCACCTGGCGCTGGGGCGGACCAAGAGGTGCGCCGACCTGCTCACCCAGCGTTTCAAGGCGGTCGAGATGGCAGCGACGGAGGGCCATTGGGACCGCGCCCAATATCTCGAGTTGCTCGAGTCGGACACGGTGTCCCTCCGCACCAAGGACGAGGAGTGCATGGTCACGAAGGAGCAGGAGCTGGCGCAGAGGGTCCGGGGCCACGAGAAACCTACCTACGCCGGCGCTTGGCCGAAGTCTGGGCCCGGCAAGGGCTACCAGGAGTACTGCCAGGACAAAAAGGGGGAGGCGAAGGGCAAGGAGAAGAAGGGCAAGGGCGACGCGAAGGGGGACAAGGGCCGGCACAAGTAGGGGCTTCCGGAGGCGGGTGGCTGGAGGCGGCATTCGCGCACGAAGCGGGTGCCAGGCTGCAGGGGGCCGGCTCCGTCGAGGAGTGGGCCGGCGCTGTGGCCGCGCTGAGCGGGGGCATCGCGTCTTCGAAGACGCGATGCCCCCGCTCGTCCGTGCACCTCCTCGCCCTGGCGGGCAGGTGCAACCCCACTCGTCTCGGCTGTTTTGAGCGTCTCCTGCGTGTGGAGCCGGCCGGGAAAAACGATTCCGCAGCACCTCCAGCGCCCCCTGCGAGCCAGGCCCCCTCTCCCGGTCGGAACCAGGGTGCGTGTCCGGAGGTGCCCAGCAGCGTCGGCTCATCACGTCCATCATCATCATCATCGCCTCCCTCTTCTTCGATGATTTTGGATCAGCGCGGGGATCTCCTACCTATCTGCCCTGCTCTGGCGGAGGCGCAGTTCCGCGACTTCGCCGCGCGGTCCGCCCTTCCTCCGGGGGGCCGCGAGGCGGCGGTGCAGGTGGCGTTGGGCGTCGTGCTCGGCCTCAAATTCCTCGCCTGCGCCGGGTGGACCGCGACCCCCATCTGCTTGGGGGCGTCGGCCGCCCTCTCCCCGCCCCAGGGTGCGTCGGTGCAGCGCATTTGGGCCGGGGTCGTCGATTTCGTGGAGGCAGGGCCTTACGATTTCGACTTCGCACTGGTGGCGGAGGAGACCCAGTCGAAAAAGGGTTTCGTATTCCGGGGAGGCGGTTTCCAGGCGCAGGAGCTTGGTCGCCTCGCTCGTCGTGCCTGTGTGGCCCAAGCCAGGCCACGCCTGCGTGCTCACCGTGGAGGACTTCTTGCCGGAGGAGCTGAAGGGCGACATGCTCGACCCTCGGAGGTGCTTGTTGCCGCGCTCGCAGTCGTCGCGCCCAGGTCCACAGTGCACGCCTCCACGGCCGAGTGGTACTCGTTGGTGAAGGCCGCGGCCACCCTGGGCTTGTTCGAGGAGGTGGAGGAGGAGGACATCTTTAGGAACCAGTTCGGGGATCTCATTTTGGGCGGTGCCATGGGCGTGGAAAAGGTCAAACAGGTCGGCGAGAGCAGCGAGGTGCTCTTGAGGTTTATTTGCGTATTTTGTCCGATAAACTCATGCATGCGCCGCCTGCGAGGAGGCGGCGACCTCCTCCCGTTTCTCGGCCAGTTCGGGTTGGTTCTGCTGGGAGAGGGAGAGACGTTTTCGGTGGACTCGGAGGATATGGAGTCTTGCTTCAACATCTTTCGTGTCCCTCCGGCCTGGCGCGGCTACTTCGCCTTCTCCAAAAAGGTGCCCCGCGCCGCCTTCGGCGGCCCTGCTGCTGAGGAGACGTGCGTGTGCATCCGCTCTGTCCCCATGGGGTGGATCGGAGCCGTCGACATCATGCAGGCCCTCGCACGGCGGCTGGTGTACGAAACCGTCCCGGTCGACGGGGCCACAGAGTTGCGGAAGGACGCCCCGGTCCCCACGGGCGACGTCTCCTTGGTCTGCATGGGCGGCTTCGACTACGTCTCGCGGGTGCGGGGGTTGCTTGATGCAATGGGTCCCGGCTCAGAGGAGGGCTCTGGGTCGGTGCCGCATGGCCGCTTCGTAGACGTATGCGGCCGCCTTCGCATCCCGCTGAACGTCGGCAAGTCTGTCGTGGATACCCTTCGGACCGGCATTCTGGGAGGGGAGTTGGACGGGCTCCGTGGCTGCCTCCTGCGCAGCCGGCAGACGGGCCACGCTTTGGCCGGGAAATCCTTGGTTCTAGCTTCCACCCGGGGCTGGCCGAAGGGGGCCTTGCAGCGCTGGGCTGGCCTTTTCGGTTTTGCGGCGGGCTTCGGGCGGCCATTGTACTCCGTGCTCCAAGAGGTGTTTCCTTTCCTGGCAGACAGCAACTGGGACCGCGTGGTTGCCCAACCGCCGCCGGATGATGTACTTGCGGAGGTGCTCGTGGGCGGCCTCCTGTTGCCGATGGCCTTCGTCAACCTGCGAGCCCCTGTGCGGCCGCTCATCAAGTGTTCGGACGCCTCCGAAGAAGGGGCCGGGGCGGCCGTGGCTTCGTCGTTTGTCGACGCACTCGCGCCGGGCGTGGGTGGACAGGCCGAGGACTGGGCAGCCGGGGAGGCCGAGGAAAGCCACCAGGCGCGTTCCCCCGCGAGGGCGGGGGCCCCTGGGGCTTGCTCGTCGCGCGGCGGGTGCGAGGCAGCATTTGGCAGCTGGGCTAGGTGCCCGGCGGGGTGCGCTCGCATCTTCTGCTCCCTTCCGTGCCTCTAAAGGCATAGGGAGGCCCCCTGCGAGTCCCTGCGTGCCTGCGGGCCAGCCTTCGGCGAAGGTTTCTCTGGGGCCAGGGCCCCCCTTTCCTGGGCCGTGGCCGCGGAGGACGCCCCCGTGTTGCGCCCGTGCGACCGCTCCTTCGACAGCGACGCAGGCCGGGCCGGCTTCTCTGAGGCGGGCGGCAAGTCGGCGCTCGAGCGGTTCGACGGCGAGGGCGTCGCTTTTGAGCATTGGAACCCGGGCTGCCCTCTGGTGCCCCCTTGGAGGGGGCCCGCAGGGGGGTGCCTCCCCTTTTTTTTTTTTTTTTTTTTTTTTGTTTCCCCCCCCCCTTTTTTTTTCTTCCCCCCCCCTTTTTTTTTTTCCCCACCCCCCCCCCCCCCCCCCCCCCCCCCACCCCCCCCCCCCTCCCCCTTTTTTTTTTTTTTTTTTTTTTTTCTTTTCCCCCCCCCCTTTTTTTTTTCTTTTTTTCTTTCTTTTTCCCCTTTTCTTTTTTTTTTTTTTTTTTTTTTCCCCCCCCCCCACCCCCCCTTCCCCCACCCCTTTTTTTTTCCCCCCCCCCCCCCTTCCTCCCGCCTCGCGCAATGGCCCGGGGGCGGAAAGCTATCGCTACATTTTGTAGTGCTCTTTCCCGTCCCCATTGGAGAGTATCGAATTGGGGCGTGGGCGTCGCGGGGCGCCCTGGGAGCAGCTGGGGGTGGGAGCTCCCGCAGGCCAAGTCTCTGGTTGCTCTTCCAGGCATCTTCTTCACGGTGTGGTGGGCATGCTGCCGTGGAGGCAGGCGCAAACGTCGTGTGGCTTTCCTGCGCAATTGCGCCCCCCTCCACGCCGCACTCCACGCCCCCGCTTGCCCTGGCCACCCGGGGAGGGCTGACCGAGGAGGAGCCGGAGCAGGAGGGCACCGAGGAGGAAGACTTCGAGGAGGAGAGGACGTGCACTACGAGTATTACGACATGATCGGTGTCACGGAATACCCGTTTTTGCTCCGTCAGCGGTGCGCGGGCATCGTCGAGCTCGTAGTCGACGAGATTGGCTTGAAGTCTCTCGCTGCACAGCCGTCGTCGCGTCTTACCTGGCTCCGGGACGCTCTCGTCAGCTCAACGGCGCGGTTGGCCAAGGGGGAGGTCATCGCTGAGGCTATCCCGTACCTCGACGCGCTCCTGCACACAATGGTCCAGGAGAAGGAGTTGGATCACCTGCGCGAACTTCTCCGACATGCTGATTATCGTGGCTCCGATGTTCGGCTCGTTTCTGGCCAGCTGGTCGACGGGTGCCGCCGCGAGTTCCCGTGCCCAGCCCCGGCCTGGCGGTGGGGGACTATCATGGCATGCCCTTGGCGCCAGCAGCAACACATCAACGTGTTGGAATTCATTGCATTTTTGGTGTGTTTCCGACGGGTGGTTTTGGACCCCGAAGCCCATTCGCATCGGTATTTCCACATCTTCGACAGCCGCGTGGCGGCTTGCATTGCAACAAAGGGCCGCTCCAGCGCCCGGGTACTCAATCGTCCTGCCAGGCGTTTGTGCGCCTTCTCGATTGCCTCCGATATGTACCTGTTAGTCTTGTGGACGATCAGCGGTTGGAACTCTTCAGATGCAGCCAGCCGGCTGCGCACTTCGCGAAACAATGGGAAAGCGGACTAGGAGGCTCCAAGGGCCCCGCAAGGCGCATATCAGGTACGAGGCAATCACCATTGGCACAATTCACCGGTACGAGGTTGCAATTCTCCGTTTCTTCCAATTCCTTCGGCTACATGACCGAGTCTACCCGGCAACCCTGGCGGAGCTCGAAAGGGAGGTGAGCGAGTTCATCAACCATTAGTACCAGGGCGACTCCCCGTTGTATTGGGCAACTGATTTGGTATGCGGGTTCAAACGGTTCTATCCTAAGTGTAAGAGGCACTTGGATACATCCAGCTAGTATCTCAATAACTGGACCTGGGCAGTCCGGAGGACGCATGCTCTACCTCTCCCAGCGGACGCTTGCCTTGCCATGGCCAGCATTTCCCTGCTCTGGGGATGGCCGCGGTTTGGCCTATCGCTGCTGTTGGAGTTCCTGGGGTTTCTCCGCACTGGCGAGATCCTGTCCATTATGAAGAAGCAGGTATCCATATTGGGCGGCGGCTCCCTACTGGTCATTGCCCTCCCAAGCAGCAAAGGGGCAAAGCGGAAAGGCAGGCCGGAGTATGTGCGCATCCACGACACTGAGGTGATCAGGGCTGTGGCTCTTCTGCTGGGGTCCCTGAGCCCCGACGAGAGGCTGCCCCCTGGCGGGTTCAGGCAGTTCTCGCAGCTGCTCGAGGCCACAGCCAAAACCATCGGCATCGCCCACCCTAACCTCACGCACTACACGCTGCGCAGGGGCGGCGCCACGTGGCACTTCAGTATTTTTTGTCTTACGACGCAACGCAAGAGCACGGGCGTTGGCACCATCGAACATCGGCTAAAATCTACATCGACCAGGCTATTGCTGAGATGAGCGAGGTTGCAATTTCAGCTGACAAGCAAAAGGTCCTCGAGTGTGCCATTCTGGTGTTGCCTGCTCTTCTTCGCGACCCTCTGCAGCAAGCTCCTCGCCCCTCCCCTGCCCGTGTCCCCCCCGTTCCCATTCGTCCCAGGCGCTGATCCCTTGCGCCTTGCTTCCTGGCCTGTCAGGTTGGGGCACTTGGGGCCTTTGTGTGTCTGGGAGGTGGGGTGGGGATGGGGTAGGTGGGTGTGTCTTGGGCGCAGCCTTATCCTCTCGGAGGTGCGGCGGCCCAGGCGCCGGTGGGGCTGGTCCGAGCGGCCTCGGAGGCCGCCCCGGGCCCTGGGCAGTGCCTCAAGGGGTCTGGCCCAGTACCTAGCCTCTTGAGGCTAGGGCAGGCGGACAGGACGGTCTTAACCCCCTGGTGGCGCTAGAGAGCGCTCCCTGCCACGACATCTACCTCGTGCACACGTTCGGCTTCTGACCGGGCCAAGGGGCCCGCCCGTGAGCCGGACACACAGCCTCACCGGGGGAAAAATATTCATAACGTCGACGGATCGAGATCCGGGGAGTATGAATGTGCTCAGGAGGTGAGGCTCCAAGTGCGATCTTTCCGTAGCTTTTGGGTTCCTCCTCCTCGCCTCCGCCGCGTTTGCCTCCTGAGGCTGCGTGGGGGTGGTGTGTGTCTTGGGCGCAGTCTTATCCTCTCGGAGGTGCGGCGGCCCAGGCGCCGGTGGGGCTGGTCCGAGCGGCCTCGGAGGCCGCCCCGGGCCCTGGGCAGTGCCTCAAGGGGTCTGGCCCAGTACCCAGCCTCCTGAGTCTAGGGCAGGCGGCCAGGACGGTCTTAACCCCCTGGTGGCGCTACAGAGCGCCCCCTGCCACGACATCTACCTCGTG